TCGTCGTTGTCATCACCATGAGCATCATCATCAGCATCAGCATTGACATCATCATCATCATCATCATCATCATCATCATCATCATCATCATCATCATCATCATCATCATCGCCCGCATGATCATCATTCTAACAATCAGCATGATCATCATCATCATCAGCATCACCGTCTTCATCAGCATCGTCGTCGGCATCATCATCATCAGCCTCATCATCATCAGCATCATCGACAGCACCATCATGATCATCAGCATCGCAATCAGCAGCATCAGCAGCATCAACATCATCATACGCATCGTCATCAACATCGCCGTCATAAGCATCGTCAGCATACTAACCAGCATCATCACCATAAGCATCACCATCAACATCAACATCATCAGCATCAGCATCATCATCATCATCATCATCATCACCATGATCAGCAACACCGACATCGTTATCATCAGCATCGTTACCATCATCATCATCACCACCATTACAATCACCACAATCATCGTACTCATCATCATTATCATCATCATCATCAGCATCATCATCATCATCATCAGCATTAGCAGCATCAGCATCGTATCATCATGACCACGACCACCACCATCATCAGCAGCAGCATAGTCGTCATCATCATCCTCATCATCATCATCACCACCATCAACGACAACGGCATCGCCAGCATGAGCATCATCATCATCATCAGCATCATCATCATCAGCATCATCATCACCGCCCTCATCCTCATCAGCAGCCTGTTCCTCATCATCCTCCTCTACTCCTCCTCGTTATCCTCCTCCTAATCTTCTTCGTCATCGTCCTCGTCCTCGTCCTCCTCCTCCTCGTCCTCCTCATCTTTCTCCTTCTTCTCCTCGTCCTTCCCCTCCTCCTTCTCCTCATTTTCCTCCTCCTCCTCGCCCTCCTCCTCCTCCTCCTCCTCCTCCTCCTCCTCTTCCTCTTCGTCCTCGTCATCTCCTTCCTCCTCCTCCATCTCCTTTTCCTCCTCCTCCTCCTCCTCATGCTCCTCCCCCTCCTGTTCTCCTCCGCCAGTGCGTCCGCCTTGCCCCCATTTTCCAAAACTGAGTTCGCCTTCCCCCTTTAATCACCTCGCCCCCTCACTCTGATAAGACACCGATGCCGTCCAAATCAACTGTGACCCCTTTCCGCTTGGGACGGAGTCCTTTGCTGAGTTTGGATCGCACTTTACTTCTGCTGGCATTATTGGAGGACCAGCTCTTGTCGGCGGGGCCTCCATGACCCACCTGACAAGAGTTCCCCAAGCAACGCAGCTGACATCCAGACGTGTAGAAGAAGCACAGCTGTCAGAAGCAAACGACGGGATCATCGCTGCTATTCGCAACGATGCATCTGCAACCAGGATCGCGCAGCCTCTGTGGCGACTCATCGAGCCTACGAGCACAGCTCCCAGGCCAAGGCTCCAAAGAGAGCAAGAGCCCTTGATGCGCTCGCTGCATTGCCAGAACTTGCCAACCCAGCTCCAAGAGTGTCCAGGAACCTGATCCCGAGGAGGCCCAGAGGGCGAAGGGCGCTCCCAAGAGACCCCGTCCAGGTCGGTCCTGGGCCGGCAGTCCAGAAATTGTGAATGGGGCCCTGGGACACACAAATCCGCCGGCCCCCTTGTGGGGTCACCAGGCTGTAGGGCCAAGGTTCGCAGTTTTCTGTACCAGTTGCAGCTTCCAGTTTTCACTGTTAAAGTTATGCTTCTTGCTGATTACTGTTACAGTTCTGCTTCTTGCTGCTTACTGTTCCTTGTTGATGGACCGCGCGAAGGGGGGAGACCCAAAACGGGCATTTTTACCACGCCCTGAGCGAGTTGTTTGAATTGCTGGGGTGGGTAAAAATGCACACCCCTCACGCAGATCGGCGGGGTCAGGGTCAAAAAAACAAAAGGATTTGCCACAGTTATGCAATTCGGTCGCGCCCCTCACGCAGATCGGCGGGGTCAGGGTGCAGAAACACATTGGATTTGCCACATGTCTAAACTTTGCAGGCAACCCTCACGCAGATCGGCGGGATCAGGATGCAAAAACACATGCGATTTGCAACATTTCTCATATTCGGTGGCACCCCTCACGCAGATCGGCGGGGTTAGGGCTTAACAACACAAAGGGATTTGCCACATTTCTGACATTCGGTGGACCCCCCCACGCAGATCGGCGGGGTCAGGTTCCAAAAACACATGAGATTTGCAACATTTCTGCAATTCGGTCGCAAAACCCTCCTGCAGATCGGCAGGGTCAGGGTGCAAAAACACATGCGATTTGCCACATTTCTGACATTCGCTGGCACCCCTGTCGCAGATCGGCGGGGTCAGGGTCAAAAAACAAAAGGGATTTGCCACATTTCTGTAATTCGGCGACACCTCTCACGCAGATCGGCGGGGTCAGGGTCCAAAAACACAAGGGAATTGCCACATTGCCAAAAATGCGGCGGCACCCCTCGCGCAAATCGGCAGGGTCAAGGTCCAAAAACACATAGGATTTGCGACATTTCCAAAATCCGGCGGCACCCCTCACGCAGATCCGTAGGGGCAGGGTCAAACACAAGGGCTTTGCCACATTTCGAAAATTCGGTGGCACCCGTGACGCAGATCCGTAGGGTCAGGGTCGAAAAACAAACAGGTCCCGACACTGCTTCACGGCGGCGCCCAGACCTCATGATTTAGCTTTTGCATGTCCCATTATCCGAGACAGGGGGCCGGCGGCATGGGGCGAACCCTTTACGGATAAATACGCACAAATAAAAGGACTCCCCAAATTTTCTTATATTTTCTGGGTTTCTGTCTTCCCCCCCACTGCCCATAGTTTCGCACATGTTCTGGGGAATCGACGATTAATTGTGTATGTGTTTTATTCTCCTCCTGAAGTTGGACGGACAGGCTGGCAACAGCCTTGGACGCGGAGACCAGAAAGAAGAGGTCTGCCGCCGAATAATGTGGGAGAGGCGTATGAAAGGTTCGCTCCATTCTTCACGGCCGCATCCGCACAACTGTTGCCACGAAGCTCCAGGCGCTCATCCCGGGCTAGGCTGGGATCTTCCTTGAGATCGTGTGGGGGGTTCGGGAGGAGTGAAGTGGCGTGCCGACGAGTGCGATGGAGTCGGGGGGGAGTGGGGTGGGGCGCCGAAGAGCGCGATGGAGTCGGGAGGAGTGGGGAAAGAGTGCGAGAGTGTGGAAAGAAACCTGGAGGAGTCTGGAGCAGCGGCGAGGAATGCGATGGAGTGGGGACGAGTCGGAGCGAATGGGGTGGAGTGCCGAGAAGTTCGATGGAGTCGGGAGGAGTGGGGTGGAGCAGGTTGAAAAGACTTGACCTCTCTAAAAAAAAGCACGGCCGCGACTTTCCGCGACTGCCTCATGCTTGAGAGTTCGCCGCTTCTCCTGCGCAGACGCCTGACATATTCTCGCACCTGCGGCGCGAGGCCCCGCGCTTGCCACAGGACAGGTGGCTGCCGTTCGCGTGACAGCGCATTGGAGCACCGGTGGCCGCGTCGAGGCCTCCGCCAAGGACGACGGACGAGGCGCGAAGCGACGTTCTGCAGACGTCGCCCGCACGAGCAGGAGAAGGACGATTGGGCTGACGGCAGGAGAGCCCAGAATCGAATCGACAAGTCGGATCGGCGATCGGAGCGAATCGGATCGGCGGAACTCGGCAGCCGAGTCGGGAAAAGTCGAATCGTCAGATATCGGCAGGCCAGTATACCTCCAATAAGGAATCGGGACCCAAATCGGAATCCCACGTCGAAGCGACTCGGAATCGGAAGCCAGCGAAAGTGGATCGAATCGAATCGGAGGAATCGACACGAGCCCTGTAAGGGGACGAGATGGGACGAGACACGCGTGTCTGCCAGCACGGGGGCCCTGAGGAGCGGCGCTGGCGGGCCGAGGCCACCGAATGGGGTCCGCTCGCTGCCATCGTGTAAAAATAAGCGCTCTGGGCAATTGAACACAAATTATGCGGGTATACGGGCCACGGCAAACTTCAAAGACGAGTACTGCGCACACGGACACCGCCGCACTGTATTTTCCTGAATGGCCGCGTCCGCTGCACTCAGGAATTACTGCGGTCGAACACCGCACTGGACTTCGATAGCAAAAAAAAGTGTTCAGTCGACCCCCTATCTTAACCAGATAGATGATGCAGCGGGGTCTCAATCCACTCCTTTTTCCCCGCTGTCGAACACCAGGAAAAGATGTCGCAAGCTCGCCTTCCCAACCTCCTCCACCTCCACTTCCTCCAGGAAGCTCCAACCGCAAGACTCACAACAACGAAACTCCGGAAGACTGCTGCATCACAAACTCCCCTGACGAAGTGCTGCCGACATCGCGGAGCAGAGCGGATGAGCACACGCTGCCGACGCGTCTCGTGCTGCGCGGTGACACAATCCCTCAAGCGAGCAACAGCTGCATCTCTCGTAGGTTTTTGCTCGCGTCTAGCCTAGGGTGTGTAGACCCATCGCATCGGCCATGGACGAGAGGGTGTACTAAAACGATTAAGCCACGTGGCTTGCGCACCCCAGCAGAAAGTTTGAGACAGAGGCCGCTGACGAGACTTGCAGGCGGCCATCGTTCTCCAACACCTGGCGCGAGAGAAGGCCCCGCCCTTGCCACATGACAAGAAGCTGCCCGCTCGCACATCAGCAGCCTCAACACCTTGCGGCGCACGTTGATTTATAGCATGCCCCGCGAGAACCCTCTGACTGGCCAGCCACGCGAGTTGTCTTGCACATGGCCAGCGCTGGGTCAGCAGAAAAACAAGGGAGGGCAACGGACCCAACGCATCGTGAGTAGAACTCTGGAAAAGAAGAACCGTCCCCACCCACCACGGAGAAGCCTTCGCCCCGCCGGCCGACCTACCCCCCTAGGTGGGGATGGGCGACGCCTCCTTCAGGCCTCGCGGCGCTCATCCACACCAAGGGGGAGCACGCTGGGAGAGCTAACCTGCCCTGTCCCAGTGGGGGTGGAGATGGTTTTCACGATGGACACAAACAGGGTCAGCTCTTCCTGCGCTCACGCCAGGCGCAGCAGGCCGAGACAGGCGCGCGAGACAAGATGCTCTGCACTGGCACGCTAGCTTTAAGTCGGGCGTGTCCCCCTACAAGGGGGTTTTGGATGAAAAATTACTCCGACGGTAGGACCCCACATGAGAATATGTTTAACTTACCCTTTGCCCTTTCCTCCTCCCCCTGGCGGACACCCTCTCCTCTCGCCCCCTGCACTGCCCTCTCTTCCCCCTTCTATTTCTCTTCCTCCTCCTCTTTCTATTTCTCCTCCTCCTCCTCCTCCTCCTCCTCCTCCTCCTCCTCCTCCTCCTCCTCCCCCTCTCGCGCCACCGCCTCCTCGTCGTCGGCCTCCCCCATGCCCCTTCCCTCCTCATCCCCCTCCCTTTTCTCCATGTGCACCTCCCCTTCCCCCTCGTCGGGGCAAGCCAATCCATTTTCCTCAGCGCCGTCGCCGCCTCGGCCAGCGCGCGCGCGCGTCTACCGACGGCTAGATCGCGAAGCCGTCGGGACAAACCTTCGGGCTGGGCCGCAGGCTCCCGCTCAAGACTTCCTCCATATTCAGGTCTCAAGAGCCCAAGCGTGACGACAGTTGCACGTTGCGGATGACCCGCTCGGATTCGAACATGAAGCGCGGGCCCCATAGGGAGGGGGCTCCCGCCTGAGACTTCCTCACAATTCACTCACAGACGAGGCTCCCGCTCGAGACTTCCTCCATATTCAAGTCTCAAGAGCCCAAAAGTGACGACAGTTGCACGTTGCGGATGACCCGCTCGGATTCGAACATGAAGTGCGGGCCCCATAGGGAGGGGGCTCCCGCCTGAGACTTCCTCACAATTCACTCACAGACGAGGCTCCCGCTCGAGACTTCCTCCATATTCAGGTCTCAAGAGCCCAAAAAGTGACGAAGTTACACGTTGCGGATGACCCGCTCGGATTCGAACATGACGTGCGGGCTCCATAAGGAAGGGGCTCCCGCCTGAGACTTCCTCGCGATTCACTCACAGACGGGGCTCCCGCCTGATACTTCCTCCATATTCAGCTCTCAAGAGCCCAAACGTGACGACAGTTGCACGTTGCGGATGACCCGCTCGGATTCGAACATGAAGCGCGGGCCCCATAGGGGAGGGGGCTCCCGCCTGAGACTTCCTCACAATTCACTCACAGACGAGGCTCCCGCCTGATACTTCCTCCATATTCAGGCCTCAAGAGCCCAATAATGACGACAGTTACACGTTGCGGATGACCCGCTCGGATTCGAACATGAAGTGCGGGCCCCACAGGGAAGGGGTTCCCGCCTGAGACTTCCTCGCGATTCACTCACAGACGAGGCTCCCGCTCGAGACTTCCTCCATATTCAGCTCTCAAGAGCCCAAAAGTGACGACAGTTGCACGTTGCGGATGACCCGTTCGGATTCGAACACGAAGTGCGGGCGTCATAGGGAGGGGGCTCCCGCCTGAGACTTCCTCACATTTCACTCACAGACGAGGCTCCCGCTCTAGACTTCCTCCATATTCAAGCCTCAAGAGCCCGAAAATGACGACAGTTGCGGATGACCCGCTCGGATTCGAACATGAAATGCGGGCCCCATAGGGAGGGGGCTCCCGCATGAGACTTCCTCACAATTCACTCACAGACGAGGCTCCCGCCTGATACTTCCTCCATATTCCCCCAAAAGTGACGACAGTTACACGTTTGACCCGCTACATGAAGTGCGGGCCCCATAGGGAGGGGGCTCCCGCTGAGACTTCCTCACAATTCACTCACAGACTCAGACTTCCTCCATATTCAGTCTCAAGAGCCCAAAAGTGACGACAGTTACACGTTGCGGATGACCCGCTCGGATTCGAACATGAAGTGCGGGCCCCATAGGGAGGGGGCTCCCGCCTGAGACTTCCTCACAATTCACTCACAGACGAGGCTCCCGCTCGAGACTTCCTCCATATTCAGGTCTCAAGAGCCCAAAAGTGACGACAGTTTACACGTTGCGGATGACCCGCTCGGATTCGAACATGAGTGCGGGCCCATAAGGAAGGGGCTCCCGCCTGAGACTTCCTCGCGATTCACTCACAGACGGGGCTCCCGCCTGATACTTTCCATATTCAGCTCTCAAGAGCCCAAACGTGACGACAGTTGCACGTTGCGGATGACCCGCTCGGATTCGAACATGAAGTGCGGGCCCCATAGGGAGGGGGCTCCCGCCTGAGACTTCCTCACAATTCACTCACAGACGAGGCTCCCGCCTGATACTTCCTCCATATTCAGGCCTCAAGAGCCCAAAAGTGACGACAGTTACACGTTGCGGATGACCCGCTCGGATTCGAACATGAAGTGCGGGCCCCATAGGGAGGGGGCTCCCGCCTGAGACTTCCTCACAATTCACTCACAGACGAGGCTCCCGCCTGATACTTCCTCCATATTCAGGCCTCAAGAGCCCAAAAGTGACGACAGTTACACTTTGCGGATGACCCGCTCGGATTCGAACATGAAGTGCGGGCCCCATAGGGAGGGGGCTCCCGCCTGAGACTTCCTCACAATTCACTCACAGACGAACTCCCGCCTGAGACTTCCTCCAGGTGAGTATGTGAATGAGTGAGCGTGTGACAGAGTGCGAGTGATGATGATGATGATGATGATGATGATGATGATGATGATGATGATGATAATGATGATGAGTATGTGAGTGACTGAGCGTGTGAGAGAGCGCGAGTGATGATGCTGATGTTGATGATGAGAGAGTGTGAGTGAGTGTGAGTGTGAGTGAGTGGTGATGGTCATGAGTGAGTGAGTGAGTGTGCGAAGGCAGAAGAGGAGAGGGGGTGGGGTGAGTCTTCCTGCGCGGGGTGTGCAGAGAAAACAAGAACCCCACTTTGGATGTGGGGAATAACAAATAGACAAACAATACACTGAAATACTCAAAAATAGTCAAAAAGTCGTCCCCTGACTATTTTTTCCCCCTGTAGAGGGACAGGCCCGACTTAACGCTAGTTTGATGCGCGTGTGGCCACGTTCTCGCCGCACGCGCCGAGCGAGGCCCCGCACCCGTCACAACGCAGGAGGCCGCCCGCTCGCCCAGAAGCGAGCCGGCGCCGCTGGTGACCGCGTCGATCCCTCCGCCCAGAGCGAGAGACGAGGCACCACAAAACTCGGGTCGGGCGAAAGGGGGGGATAGCAAAGGGGGGGTTTGAGAATCAGCTCGCATAGCTGATTTTCCCGGCGCCTCCTGGCGCCAGAGGCGGCCATGTATCGAGGAATGGGCCCCTCGGTGAGGCCAAAACCAGCTGCATGCAGCAAATTTCGTAACCCCCCCTTTCCCAATCCCCTCCTTTCGCCCGGCCCGACCAGAGCGAGAGACGAGGCACCACAAAACGTATGACCCTGGACGATTGCGCCCTCCTCGTCGTTTGAAACAGGCCGGACGGCCAAAGCGGCCCCATCTGCGATGAGGTCCAGCCAGCCATGCGTCGGCTCAGGGGTGGCAGCCCGATGAGAAGGAGAATGGTGGGAGAGCCAGGAGGGGGGAGCAGCAGGAGGCGAGAAAGCATTCATCACGTCAAGTGCACAACGATAACGAATTTTCTGGGTAAACGCTGTAGCAAGCCCGTCTGTGAAAGCGGCCAAACAAAGCAGGTGGCCCCGCCTTCTCAAGACCACTTCGCATCCACATCGAGCGAAAACTCACCCGACCATGCAGCCGAGGGCCACTAGGCCACTCCCGGTCACCCCTCTGCGCTGCCACAGGGCGGAGGTCTTCAGCTGGAAGTTGATGCCGTCTGCCTGCTTCGCGCGGCCGATGCTCATGGTCGCGGTCCGGCGCGCGCTCCGCCTGTCGATCAACGGTGTGAACCGCCGTGCCTGCTCGTCGGCGAACGCCTCGATCTCGGCCAATTCCGCGGCGTCCTCCTGCCTCTGCGGCGCACCTGGGGGCACGCTGGCGTCGCCGAACGCAGCCGCTGCCGCGCTACGTGGAGCGTCGTCCTGCCAGACAGTTGGGGCTCCCAGCCGGACTCTGCCCCTGGCGGGAGAGCCCAGCCTCGTGTCGCTTCCGACGCCCTGGTCGCCCGGCAGCGCCTGGACGAGCTCTGCTGCCGAGTCGGTGGGGTCGAAGCACTCTGGAGCCATGTCGAAGGAGACGGTCTTTCGCTTCCCTCCTCCAAGAGCCGCTGGGCACGACCGCCAAACCAGTCCTCCTCGCGGATGTCCGCCAGGCCCCGCCAGCGACGCACCTGCCCGCGCGGCCATGGACGGATGTGCGGCGACTGTGACGGCGACGGCGCTGTACATCCTCCGACGTTTCGGTGTACGAGCCGGCTTTGCGCTTCCAGCCCGAATGGCTCGAGGCAGCGTGGCTACGGAGGAGGCTCACTCAAAAACATGGAGGCTGACTCTTGAGGCCCTTGGGAAGCGTCTTCAGGCGGCCGAGGCCATCTTGAGGCCATCTTGGAACATCTTGGAACGCTCTTAGCCGTCGGCCTCTCTTAGGCCGTCCTGGGGTCCTCTTGGAGCCTTCCCGGGCGCATCGTGGCCGCCCTCGGAGCGTGCCGGGCGTGAGCCCCACCGATGTGGTCGGGCTTGGTTGGGACCCCGTTGCCCCCTGGCCCGGACCCGTCGTGTGTATATGATCCCAGAGTCTGGGCCCACGGCCCCCCCCCCCAGATGGGATGGGTCCCAGGAATCCACGGCCCCCCCCCCCCTGATGGGATGGGGGGGGGACGACGACGACGACGACGACGACGACGACGACGACGACGACGACGACGACGACGACGACGACGGCGACGGCGACGGCGACGGCGACGGCGACGGCGGCGTCGACGGCGACGGCGACGGCGACGGCGACGGCGACGGCGACGGCGACGACGACGACGACGACGGCGACGGCGACGGCGACGACGACGGCGACGACGACGGCGGCAACGACGGCGGCGGCGATGACGACGACGACAGCGCCGACGACGACGACGACGACGACGTTGGCGACGACGACGTTGGCGACGACGACGACGACGACAACGACGACGACGGCGACGACGACATCGCCAACGACGGCGGCGGCGGCGGCGACGACGACGACAGCGACGGAGACGACGACGATGACGACGACGACGACGACGACGACGACGACGGCGCCGCCGACCTCCGGAGCCCTCCGACGACGACGGCGGCGGCGACGACGACCTCCGGAGCTATCCTGGAACTCCACAATACCACGCCGCACACACCACACCCACAGCACCACACCACACCCACAGGGGGGGGGGACCACCGCGCGGGGGAAGGGCCCGATGGCATCAACATGATGGGGGGGGACCGGACACTCCCCTCGCTTACCCGCGCCTCGCTACATGCAACGCCCATACACACCAATAGATCCGCGCTCCCGAGGCCACGACCCCTCGTTGGAATAGAAACGCTGGATCCGCGACCCGAGCTTCCAAGACGGCTCATGCAGGCAACCAAGGACAACAAGATGACCCAAGATGCCTAGAAGATGGCCCAAGATGGCCCCAAGTCGGCCCAACATGGCCGACGACGGTCCAAAATGCCTCCAAAATGGCCCAAACAGGCCACGAGAAGACCTCCAACAGGGCCGGAAGACGCCTAAATTCGCCAAACCCATGGGGTTCATTGGCGTGTGACATGTTTCCCCCTCCCTAAACCCCTCCCCCGGGAGCCTGGTCGGGTCGATTTGGAGAGGGGGGGGTTTCCCAGGAGGTGGGTGAACGCATCCACGGGGCATATAGGCCCCCGAAACAGGCCAAGACAAAGAGGCCCTTGGGCCGGTCCACGAGGGCCCCGAATCGCTGAATGATCAATCCAAAACGCCGATGCTGGCCTCCAGAGAGCCCACGATGTCCTCAAGACGCCCCCCAAAAAAGCCAAGAGGACCCTCAAGAGGGCCTCCAGAAGCAAAAACGTCCAATTCCCTCAGGAACAAACAAAAATGTTCAGCACATTCGCCTACGAGGCCTTCAAGTTCGCCCCAAGACAGGCCAAGAGGCCCTAACAGGGCTCCAAGACGGACAACCCAAGAGGGCCCGAAGTCGGCCCAAAGAGCCCGCAGAACGGCCCAGGAGGATCTCAAGACAGCCCCAAGAGGGGCACGTAGAGGGGGAACCCGGACGGACATTTCGAATCATCCCCCCCCGAACGCCTCCGGGTTGCCCCAAGAAGGCCCCCAACAGGCCCCCAGGGAGCCCCAAGATGGCCGCAAAAAACTCGCAAGAGGCCTCCAGGAGGCCCCCAAGAGGCTCAAAAACTGCCTCCAAGACGCCACCGATACGCCTCCCACGACACCCCATTAGCCATCCGAGCGGCCTTAGACCCGCAACCCAAGCACGGTGGCGGGATGTGCCGAAGACCATTCGATAATCATTCGTCGGGTGTTCTGACAAATGCCATCCGTCTGAAGACGTGGGTTCTCGCCCGGTTCTCTCACAGGGTAACTGGGTTCTCGCCCAGTTACCCTTTCACGTACCCAATTCATTAGCATCCAAGTGACAAGAGGAGTTGGCCCAAACTTGCCAGGACACTGATAGCGCAGGTACCGTTATATGTCGTGCAAGATACACTGGATGGGCCCACGAAGCACGATTCACACAACGACAACAACAGAAGGACGAGGAGCGAGGGTCCAGGCTTGAGGAAAACCGTGGGGGGGAGGGGGGGGAGGGGGGGCGAACCGTCAGCGCGGCAGCTGCAGAGGGAAGGTGGCAGGGGGCAGAGGACGACGACAATGACGGGCGGAGACCGAAGAGTGTTGCTTTTGTCGGTAATGCGCTAAACATGCAGCGCTCTCTGCGCCGTGTCGCCGCGGCGCTCGAAATAATGACTAACCCTAATTTAGCTAGTGCAAGAACCGCGCTGGCGCCGCCGCGGCAGCACGTGCTGGACCTCCTCCCACAGTTCCTCCTCCTCCTCCTCCTCCTCCTCCTCCTCCTCCTTCTCTCCCTCCTCCTCCTCCTCCTTTTCCTCCTCCTCACCCTCCTCCTCCTCCTCCTCCTCCTCCTCCTCCTCCTCCTCCTCCTCCTCCTTCTCCTCTTCCTCCTCCTCCATCTCGTCTTCACCTTCCTCCTCCTCCGCCTCCTCCTCCTCCGCCTCCTCCTCCGCCTTTCCCCCTCCGCCGCCTCTGGACCCCTCAAAATCTATCCCTACACCCCTGCCTGGACTCTGACGACCCCAAACCTCAAAACAACCCTCAGGTAACATAATAAGGCACTACTGCGCTGGACCCCAGGGACTGCGAGTTTTCCTGGTGGTCGCAGCCCTCGAGAAGTAGCGACAGTTTCGCAGATCGCAGACCCACAAGGATGCCGAGGTCTCCTGGTGGTCTGGGTAAGACGTCACTCCGCTGGACCCCCCAGCAGCCCTCGAAAGTGCCGACAGTTTCGAAGATCACAGCCACCCACGCAGGAAGGAGCGAGGTGAGAGGCAGGAGAGAAGAGGAGAGGAGGGGGGCAGGAGAAGGAGAAGACGCGCGGGCAGCGTTCTATTCGAAACGAGTAACGAGTACCCAACGCAGGAGGGGTGGGACAAACTGTCTCCAAGACGCCCCCGAGACGCCTCCCATGAGACCCCATCAGCTATCCGAGTGGCCTCAGACCCGCAACCAATGCACGGTGGCGGGATGTGCCGAAGGCCATTCGATCCGCCGCCCCCTGTTGATTCATCACAGGGGTGCGTGGCGTGCTAGATGATTTCGGTTTGGGTTTGGTTCTTTTTCAAAAGAACTCCCCCTGGGGCTCCGGCGCGTCCCGCTGGTGTCCCGGGAAGGAACTCCAGGCCCGCAAACGACCTCAACGTCCGCAAATAATTCTCCAAGACGCCTCAAGATGGCCTCCAAGACGGCCAAGATGGCCCTCAAGCTCGCCCAAGATGGTCCAAGACGGCCTCCCAGACGGCCCAAGAGGGTCCCAGATACGTCCAAGTTCGCCCAAGAAGCCTCCAAGACGGCCCAAGAGGCCCCCAAAAGGTCTTCCAGGAGGGCTCGAAGAGGCCAGAATCATTGGTTTTCCATAGGTTTTTGAAGGATGTTGGCATTTGCTTCTTCTCGGCATTCCGACGGCTCAAGACGGCCCACGAGGCCCCCAAGATCGCCTCAAGATCGCCCACGAGGCCTCCAAGATGGCCCCATGACGGCCCAAGAGGCCCCCAAGACGGCCCCAAGAGGGCCCCAAGACGGGCCAAGAGACATCCAAAACGCCCAAGATGGCCTCTAACGGCCCTGGAGCACCCCAAGAAGGCCCCAAGTCGGCCCTGAGAGGCCCCCCAAACGGCTTCCCACGGCGGCAGACGGACCAGGAGCCCACCAAGATGGCCGAAGTTGGCTCTATGCTAGCCCAATACGACCCAAAAGGCCTCCAAGAGGGCCCCCAGGAGGGCTCGAAGAGGCCAGAAGCATTGTTTGTCCTTGGGTTTTTGAAGGATTTTGGCATTTGCTTCTTTTCGGTTTTCAGACGGCCCGAGAAGGCCCAAGAGCCCCCAAAGATCGCCCCAAGATCGGCCAAGAGGCCTCCAAGACGGCCAGGAGGCCTTTAAAGCGCCCAAGATGGCCTCCAAGACGGCCATGGAGCACCCCAAAAAGGTCCCAAGTCTGCCCAGAGAGGCCCCCCAAACGGCTTCCGACAATCAGACGGGCCAGGAGCCCACCAAGACGACCGAAGATGGCCCTAAGATAGCCCAAGACGACCCTCCAAGAGGGCCTCCAGGAAGGCCCGAAAAGGCCAAAATCATTGATATCCCAAGAGTTGTTGAAGGATTTGGGCATTTGCTTGTTCTCGGCATTCCGACGGCCCGAGATGGCCCAAGAGCCCCCAAAAATCTGCCAAAAGTCAAATATGGCCCCAAAACGGCCCAAGAGGCCCCCAAGACGGCCCCAAAAGGCCCCCAAGACGGCCCAAGAGGCCTCCGAGACGCTCAAGGTGGCCTCCAAGACGGCCCTCGAGCACCCCAAGAGAACCCAAAGTCGGCCCAACCTCGCCCACCGTGTTCCCCGAACGCTTTCCAAACCGATTCGGGGAACACATGGTCCGAAAGCTTGGCAGGCCTCTGGCCACAACGTTCGGACAGATAGGCGTTTCCAAAAAGGCAGGGGGCGGCGGTGACTCGCCGTAGGCGTCTTCGATAATCATTCGTCGGTTGTCTTGACTGATGACCTCCGTCTGTATACGCAGGTTCTCGCTCCAGTCCCCATGCGCGCATGGCGAATGCTGAGACTGTCAGCCCAAGAGGACCCAAAAAGGCCCCCATGATCACTGTGGTGGTGATCATGATCAGTATCACGATGATGATCATGCTCATGATACGTCTGCTGGTGATGGCGATGATGGCGGTGGTACCTATCATGACAAGTTTCAGGATGAGAACAGTGGTATTGCGTAAGCTGGTTATCAAAAACAACAACAGTATACTCAGTATGATCGTCATCATCCTTAACACCATCATCATCACCACACCATCACCGTCACCATCACCACCAACATCACCATCAACGTCACCATTACGATCGTCGCCGCCATCATCATCATCATCATCATCACCATCATCATCATCAACAGCAGCATCATCATCATCAACAACACCAACTTGATCATCACCATAGTCACGGCTCTCCCACTATCGAACAACCGCCACCCAGAATGCGGGGCTGGCACGATGGCGGGCCTTGCCGCACGCAGCTGGAAATCGTCCCAGGTGTGTGATGCAACCTATGCGGTGCAAGCTGTTATGCCAGCTGCGAGGTGCAAATGGAGAGGTGGAACATGGGTGGCAGGAGCTGATGTGCGAACCACGGGATGCAAGGTATGTGATGTAAGGTAAGTGGCGCAGTACAACATATGCACATAACCGTGCGTACGCCATACAGCTGGTGCAAGCTTTGTGCTGCAGGCTATGTTGTGATAGATGTGCGTCAGAAGCGATGCTGTGCAAACTACGTGGTGCCAATAATGTGGTGAATGCGAGGTGGTGCAAACGACGTGGTGCATCTATGCGTACGCTATGCGGTGCAACGTATAGGGTGCAAAGTATGTGGTGCATGATATCTAGTGCAAGGTGTGCGGTGCAAGTTACGTGGTGCAACTCATGAGGTAAGGCTGTGTGATGCAAGCTAGGAGGGAACGAAACGAAGAGACGTATGTCGTGCAAGCTGTGTGATGCAAGGCGCGCGCTGCTGATTGCGTGGTGCAAACTATGCCCAGCCAACGCACACGGCGGCGACCAGTCGGCGACGGACGGCCGCCGTACAAACACCAGGCAGATCTTTAAAACGACTCCCAACCAAGATAAAACATAGCCTGGCGAAGGACCCAACCATACGCAGTTGCGAATACCGCAATTATGATTGTATTCTTCGGCGATGATGATGACGATGATGGTGATGATGACGGGTGAGAATAGGAGGGAGGGGGGGAAGGAGGGAGGACGCGGGGCGTTGTCTCTTCAAAACGAAGACCCAACATCACAGGATGGTTCGAAAAAACTGGGTGAGCGCACTGACCGCGTAGGACGGCGTGACGAGGTCGCGGCCGCGCGACAGCCCGGCAGACCATCAACATTACAACCCTCGTCACCATCACCACCACCATCGTCGACGTCGAATGTGCTCCCGTCGTCGTCATCAGTATCCTCACCGTGCCCCCCCCCCATCCACCTCCTCCTCTTCCTTCTCCTCGCCCGCTCCCTTTTGCCGTTCCCCCCCAATCATCCTCATCATCCCCCTCTTCCCCGTGGACACGCCGCACTCGCGAAGGGGGGGCGAGGGGCAACCGAGGGCCTGGAACTCCTCCACGGGCGTCGGCGTCTTGGAGACCTCGACGACCTCCCCCTGCCTCATGTAGCCCGCCTGGTGTATGCCGACGTCGCCACCCCGAGCGCCGCTCGCCGCTGCCCCGCGTTCCCCAATCCTGTATGTGTTCACCCGTGGGCAAACAATAAAGACAAACGTGTTGCGTCGTTTTTTGTTTGACAAAAAACCAGTTTAGGCGGACAACGCCTGAAAACTTGCAGGTGGTTGCGCCTGGACAGCGCCTAGTAAATTACGCTTCGCTTGGCCGATGCCTATTACTGACGCGTTGCGCGCCACGTCTCTGGACAACGCCGAATACGTCACGCCTTAACATAGCCGTGGACAGGCGCAAGTAAACTAAGGCGAACAAGAAAAAAACATCCATGGCCCGTCGGGGCAGGAGTCGCCCAATTCACCACATTCCTCCTCCTCTTCCTCTTACATCATGTGTCCATATTGCCCCAGGCAACCAGAAGATGGCGCAAACGTGCGTCCCAATAAGGTGGTGCGCGCTCTATCCACTCCGTTTGTATTGCTGCATCAAATGGCCCATTGGTAATGACCGGCATGGTTTCAATGGCTTCCGTGTCAGCCTCGTTGCGCGGACACAATCATGTGGCGCTCGCGCCATGTGGGGGGTTTGCCATATGAGTGTGCCCCGTGGGCTGCCGTCTGGGGGGCGGTGCGGGCCATCGAACGGTGACCGCAGGGGGACGCGGGGCAGGAATGCGGAGGCAATCCCCATGCGGGGAAGGGGGGAGGAGGAAGGCGAAAGAGAAGAGAGAAAAGCAAGAGGTGGGCGAATGGGGCCCGTGAGAGTTCAAAAATGGATGTGGGGGAAAATTGTGGAAACCCGGGATGTTCTAAACATCGGAATGTGGTATGGTGGAATACCTGCTGGCGCGTTAACAGCTGGTACGGAGGCTGCAACCTGAGAGCCAGAGCAGTCGCGGATGGGGCAGCTGGGGTGCAAGCAGGGGTGGGGCGAAACAAGCAAGACAGGAAGGCACACCGTTCGAGCAGGATGCTCAAAAAGGTCCGTCGTTACCCCGTCGGTGCCAACCTGCTGCCTAGAGTGCTCTACTGACCGCACTCGTGAAGCACGCCTGGAATGAGCACCCTGCCGACCGCGCTTAAAAGACCATTGGTGTTGCACATGCAAATGCCTCCTGCTGCTCAGATGGAGTCACTCACCCACTTGCAACAGCACTAAATCGAGCGCTCAACTTCCTCCTGATTCTCGCCCATCAATGCCCGCAGAACTTGACAATCTCGCGGCTGCTGGGCAGGTCGGCCTGTACCCCGGCGTGCGGACGGAGTTAAGCGGAGCTGCGGTGGTCGACATTGTGGCACAGTCACACGTGTCGCCTCCCCACGGCTGAATGAGGGAACTGCGCCCTTGGTCATGGGGTCGGCCCGCGCATTGCGAGTGTCGCGCCAGCGCAGTTCCTCGATTTGCTTGGTGCGCAGCTGGTCAGATCGCCGCCGCACGTGGCCGGACATGCTGTTCTCGGAGGGCGGCTGCGCCAGGTCCACGAGCAGGGCGCTGAAAACGGGCGCGAGGTCGATGACGAGATCTGCGCGGATCGCGCATCCCCGCCTCAGGAGTGCGAGCCACGCGGTTGCAGGCCGCGCAGCGGACCCCCCCCCCCCTCCAGGGGGCACAGCAAACTCATGCGCAGCACACACGCGGGGCCATCGTGATACTGATGAGATCTGGCCTGGGCCGTCTAGGGCCAGCCTCCGCGGGGCCCCAGACCCCCGAGCCAGCCGCGCGAACAGAGGCCCGCCCCGCGAAACTCGCTTTGAGGCAGGCCTCATCCAGACGAAACTTAACGTTACGAACAATGCTCTTAGCAGGGCTGGCTAAATCCAGGGCCACACTAGCAAACAAGTCCGCCCATTTGTTACCAGGCAAGTCCTGGGCGTTCAGGCCTAGCTCAACCGCCTACCCCAAGGATTTGCTAGAGGGGACCCATCCAGAAGACGACGGCCCCCTGTCTTGGCGGGCCACGGCAGCCCGATAGGCCCTCCAGAGGGCAGCGCGGCGAACCGAAGCGGACGCGTCCGTCGCCTGGGCTCCACCTTTGCCCTTCCTCCGCGAAGCTCAAATGGTCCGAGATCAAACGAGAGACCCGGGTGGAAAGGCAAGCGGCGATGAACCCCGCAAATCTTTCAGCCCTGGCCACAGGTCTGCACCCCCGGGAGAAAACCGAAAATCGCCTTGCAGGGCCAGCCGTCGTCTCGCAGCTGGACTACGGCCCAAGAGCATCGAGCAATCTCTGGAGCGCCCATGGCAAAACCACCGCCATCCATATGCAGGCGACCACCCCAGGGCAGCTCCGCACACCCCCAATTATGCTCGACATCCGGGTACATGGGAGGCGTCTCGGCAAGAGGGGGTCTGAGCGGGATGGCACGCGCGAGCTCCAGGGCCTCGCGCGGGCCCTCCTGGGCCGACTCAAGGGCAAGCTGATGGATGCGCTCGCGGGTCTTGACAATGGCATCTGGTGGGTCCGACTTGCGCAGGGCGGGATCTAGGAGGGCAGGGCACTTGCACCAGCGGTGGCCATGGGTCTCACGTTCAGCCCCGCACGCGAGGCAACGAGCATTGGATGCCACCCCCCCCCCTCATTTTTCCCGAGGCCACGTCGCATCAATCCAGACGCGCTGTGGCGAGCATCTTCCGGCCAGCTCTCACGCGGCCGTCTCCGCGCACCGTCGCATGCGCGCCAGTGCTGGTCGCCACTGTGCTCTGCGATGTGGGCCCGGGCACGCGCCGACAGCCAGCGCGCGACGCCCTGGGGGACCTGGTCGCGGACGTCTCTCTCCCGCAGGTTGAAATCAGCGCCGAGGTCAGACTCGGGCGCGGCGGCCGGGGCGAGCCGCCAGCCGATCCCATTCAAGATGAGCCGCAGGGCGCCCAGCGGTCCTCGCACGCGGCTCCAGCTTGGCTGGAGCCGCATCTTCACGTCCAGCCCGGGTTCCTCGTAGGGCTGCAACTCCACTCGACCTTCCCATAGCGTGGTCGAGCACGGGCAGACGATGTTGATGGTCGCCGCTTATAAGGGGGCCGCTCGCCGGCTGGCCCTGCACCTGCATGCCCGCGCAGATGCCGCCCGCGGGGCGCGCCCCAGCCAGCCCCGCGGGTGACGGACGGCGTCGGGCCAGCCGTCGCGCGCCATGCGCCTGGCCCCGACCGCTTTCTTGAGGATCATGGAGCGGCGTGCCCGACTGCGAAGCTGTTCGAGTCTGTCGACCCCTTGTCGGCGTCGCACCTTGGGGCCAGCCAGCTCATGTCCGAGGTTGCGAATCCACGGCTGCCCTGCGACGAGCCGGGCGCGCGCCGCCAATCCGAACGCGGCCGAGGCGCGGCTGGAGGAGGCCACGTAGCCGAGCTTCTTGATCTGAATGGGCAGCTTGTGGTCCTTGAGCTCGAACACGAGCTGGTCAATGCCCTCGCCGAGCTCTTGGGCGCTGCGCCTGGCCAGCCCCGCCCGCTGTAGCGACGCGTCATCCACCGGCTGCCTAAGCTTCAGCGAAAGGCGGGCGCAGCGCGCTGAGGCGCACCATGGCCCTGTGCATTAGCACGGCCAGGAGCGTGGCTGCCTGGGGGCATCCTGCCACGATGCCCTGGGACGAGATGCGCAAGGCCGACTCGCTGCCGCGCAAGCGGACCGCTCGAGGCTGTCGATGCAGCTGGACCAGCAGCCAAACCAGACGCGGTGGAAAGTTCACCTCAATCGCCCCTCGGACGAGGAGCGCCGGCGCCACCGTGTCAATAGATTCGAGCAAGTCCACCATCAAGGTAATCGCGTCGAGCTGCCTGGCCAGCGCTATCTCCGTCGTGAGGTTGTGTGAGAGCGCCGAGGCTGGCGAACTCCTGCCTGGGCCGAGCCCCCAGGCGCGCCCCTCTCTGCGCGCGGCCTCCCATTCTGCGGACAGCGGACGACGGGCGCGGCCCCAGAGACGAACCGCCGCATTCAGTAATCCAATCAATCGCATGCCAACGCCCGCCTCTGGAAGGCGGACGAGCGCCGTCGCTAGGCGCTCTGGCGGCCTGCCGAGATGGTGCTCGCAGGCGTGGATGAGGAGGGGCAGCGTCGCGGTACTCGCAGATGACCTTCCAGTCGCTGAGCTCGGCGTCTGCCAAGTCGCAAGGGCGACCGCTCTCGCCCTCCCTCGGCGCTTCTACCTCCTGCCTGGGTTTCGCGAGCCTGTGCGCCAGCCCAGCCCTGCTCAAGAAGGCGCCCTTTGCCCGGATGGTCCAGGCCTTGGCGCACTTCGCCTCGGAATCCGCCGCGATCTGATTGGTTCACCGATAATGATCTGGGACTGGGGCTGCAGCGAGCCGATGGCGAGCGCCACAGGGCCAGCCTAGAGCATCTCCCGAGCTTCGCAGCAGGCACAGCTGGGCGAGGAGATGGGCGCGGCTGCCGATGCGCGCGCTGAACCCCACAAACTCAAGCAACGCGGTGGCGAGGCTCTTGATGCGATTGTAGTGTTGTAGACCGTTGAAGATGAGACCTCGGACAGCACCCGGGGGCCGAGGCGGAGGGGCCCTGCCAGCGCGATCTCCCGGGCGCTGGTCCATCCACGCGCGGCGCTGCTCAAAAGCGCGGAGGTGCACGTCCATCGCCTCCGCATAGCCCTCCTCGGAGCTGCCTCTTAGCCGACGAAGGCGTGCTCGATGACGTTCTCGACTGAGGACGTCTACCTTCTCGCCAAGCCGCCTCGCGCATCTCTTGGGCACGGCGCCGCCAGCGCGCCACCAGTGGGAGGTCGCCGCCTCCCCGCCACCACCCAGCACCTCGCCGCAAGGGGTCGAAGGCTGGGCCCCTAGGCTGCTCGGCGGCATATGCCACGCACCACTCCATCCAGTCGTCGTTCACCTCCGTCTCGGTTTGCTGCTCGTTGAAGGGGTCGCCAATCCAGGTCTGCGCGTGCCGACGGAGCTCGCGTTGGAGCGCCCCCCGCCGTCGCCGGGCCGCCGCGAGGTCGGGGTCCTCGCCGCGCCCAGCAGGGGCAATGCGAGGATCTGGGGCCAGGCTACACAT